TTCACTCGTGGGCCAGTTAGTGACATGGTGGTTAAAGTGACTGAATCCCATATATCTGACTGTGCAGTTTGAGAAATGGAGGCTTAAGAAAATGCACCAGGTGGTGACCAGTAGTTGGCGTAATGGCTATGTCACTGGACTCCCATGTTGTTGACCGTGGTTCGAGTTCTGGACCCTGTGGCTTAAACTCACACAGGACGCGTGTGCGTGTGTGCCCAAGATCCCAAGAGGAGAATGGAGGAGAAGGGATTGTGATGTGGCCATCCCTTCTGAGGGATGATTGCTCGCTTTCTGTCTCTCTGTCTCTGTCTGTGTTTCTGGAGAGCACATGCGCCCTATAGCAAAAAACCAAAAACTAAAACAAGAAGAAAAAAAAAAAAACCTCTACACACACACACACACACACACACACACACACACACACACCAGGCATGTGTATGCATATACTCAAAATCCTGAGAGGAGAATGGAGAAGGGATTTCAGTGGGGCCAAACTCTCGGGAGGGAGGGTATGTGTGCTTTCTTACTTTCCCTCTCTGCCTCCATCTCTTTTCACCAAAGGCATGAGCCCTATGACAAAATTAAAAACAAAAACAAAAACAAAACTCTGGATGCATGTGCATGCATACTTAAAATCCCAAGAAGAGCCCAAGAAGAGCATGGAGGAGAAAGGATTGTGGTGTGGGCGAACCCCCATGAGGGGGGTGCTTTCTCAATTTCTCTCTCTCTCTCTTTCTCTCTGTTAAGCACATTTTCCCTGAAGCAAATTGAGGAAAAATTCAACTCTTTTTTAAGCTACATGTCTTTGTAAGACTGAATTTTCTTCCTATACTTCAAATAAAACAACATATCACAACAGATTGAATGCAGAAGCAGATGTAGAAATTCAACTGTCTTCTAAGAAAGCCATCAAAAGGATTTGCAAAAATGTCAAAAAAAATCATTGTTGTCACTAGGAGTTTTTGTTTGTTTTTATAAAGATGAAAGAAATCAGATTTGGGCAGTTATGTTTGGCTCATGTATGTGCAATTGAATCGAGGAAGCTTGTATTTAGAGAATGAGAGAGGACAGACAGAAATGCAGAGAGAAGCACAGAAAAGAGACCAGAGGCAGAGAAAGAAAGACTATTTTGGTTTCTGATGACTTCTTTGCTTGGTTCTTGTTTCTCTTGAGATGTGGCAATGTTCCCCAATTTAGAGTTCTAAGAGGTTTCCACATATTCTTCTAATAAAACTCCCCCTTATTTAAGCTTATTTAATAAGAATATATTTCTTTTTCTTTCTTTTTTCTTTCTTTCTTTCCTTTTTTTTTTTTTTTTTTTTTTTGTAAAGATTTTACCACAGAGCACATGTGCTTTCTGGAGTGACAAGAGAGAGAAAGTGACAAATCACCCTGCAGAAGAGATGGCCATGCTGCAGTATTCCATTCTCCTCCTGGAATTTTGGGCATGCATGCACATGAGCTTGGCATGAGCATCAAGCAGTCAGGTCCAGGATTTGACCCATGTGGGAGTCCAGTGTCCTAACCACCACACCACCTGCTGGCTCCTAAAATGAATATTTCTTATGTGATGATCATAAATGTCAGTCCACATAGATTTTTGTTTTTCTATAGCTCAATACCATTTTCTTTTGGGGTCTACCTCCTGCAGGGGTGGTGAGAATGAGCAGAGTGAGGTTGACCTGGTCATTTCCAGATTGTAGCAAAGCATTGGATATACAGTCTGGGAAAATGCTTCTTTGAAGACTCTGACAGGCCAGAGAGATCCCATGTGATGATCGTCCTGCAGCCATTTGGTGGAAAGGCAGGCTAGTGGCTGCTCCTTAGTCTTGGCAAGGCTTATCCTGATGATATAGAGAAAAGCAAAGACATATTCAAAATCTTACCATATGGGTTTCTTGAGATCGTGATAGAGGAGATGGAATTTTGGAAGTTCTGTTTTCTCAGTAACCAGAGTAGGGAAAATGAGTATACTTGCTCAGTTGCAATGTAATGCAGCCTTCTCCCTGCCCCACCTGGCATTTTAAAAAACTAGTATCTTTCTAAGACCTTCTTTTTCCTATGATCATATGTTCCTCCTCAGCTCTCCCTTCACTATGCCCCTGGCAATGGGAATGACAATGGCAATGGGAAAATCAATGTTGGTTTTGACAACCCTGGTCTATGCACTTCCTCATAATGTGATTGGTCTATGCACTTCCTCATAATGTGATCAGTCCTTTCACATCTACCCCCTTCTTCCTTTGTATCCCCATAGCCACCCCCATTTCCCATGGCCCTCCTCTCTGCATGCCTGGATCCAGTGGCCTCCTTACCTTCAGAGCCATTCTGCACACAAATCCTCAGATGAATCCCTCAGAGATGCAGTGTTCAGCATGTTCTATAGTTCATTTCACACTTAGCACATTTAACTCCTCTTCAAAGACCATCCTTTACGTGAATGACTTGGCGTCCCATGAGAATGGAGGCTTTTTTCCATTTCTATGTTTTCTCCACATCCAGCATAATGTAAAAGGTTTGTTGCCACTGCTACTTTAATGGGAGTGTCAAAAGGGTTTTTGAGGGCTGGCCCTATGGTCTAATGGCTAAGGGAACTGTATCCCACATATGCACTTCAAATCCTGGGCCCAGCAGCTTAGAAAACAAGGTGGGTACAGTTGTGAGCATGCCCCAAGCCCCAACAAGAGAGATAAATGGAGAAGGGATTGTGGTATGAACACATGCTATTAGGGGTTGTTTTCTCCCTCTCCCTGTCTCCCTCTCTTTGGGTCTCTTTGTTTTTCTCTGGAGAGTACATGCACTCTCTGGGGAGAAAAAAAAAACAAACAAACAAAACAAAAAACCTTTGGTGATGGTGCATGCCTGTAATATTGTTTACTTGGGAGACTAAAACAGGAGAATTGAAAGTTTGAGGCCAGCCTAAGAACCACAATGAGACCTAGTCTTTGGAATTAAAAAAAAAAGTCTGGTAGTTTACTTAATAACTTTCACTTAGCACATGTTTGCTTATTCTCTGGGTGCTGGGGTCTCAAAGACAAATTAGCTATATCCTTTGTGTGCTAATGATAATCTAACTGTGAGTGCTTGTGCTATTAATATAATAGCTCAATAGTTGAGGTCTCCTCTCTTCTGTCCAGCTCTCTTGACAACTTCTGACTAGTTTAGAATCTTCTTCTCTGCTCTTCCAGTCCTCTCAGTATTTATCCACGAGTATATTTAGCATGCAAACTATATTTAAAAACATTTAATACTATACTATGGGAAATTTCAAACTTAAATAAAAGTAGAGAGTATAATAACTACCTCCCACAATACAGAGACTTCAAAAATTACCAGCATTTTGCATTCTGTTTTTTTCTCTCCCCCACTTATTTTTCTTGCTGGAGAAATTTAAGATAAATCCCAAATATCATATCATTTTATTCACTACTACTACAGAATCCATCTGTAACTGATGAAAACCTTTTGAAAAACCTAACTATGCAACTACAAAGCTATTATCATACCTTATAAAATTAGCAAGAAATCCTTAATGTCATGTATAATGTAAACATCACATTCATGTTTTTCCTAATTTTTAAAATAATTTCTTTCACCTAAATCATGTCCATAGTTACATTTGATTGATATATTTGCTAAGCTTCTTTTAAACTATTAATAGTTCCCCTTACTAAGCCTACGTATTGGTTGAAGTCAGCTCAACTGCTTTGTTTTTTTACAGTTCTTTTTTTTTTTTTTTGGAGAGGTTTTCACTATAGGGCGCGTTCCCTCACCAGACAGAGAGAGACACAGAGACAGAAAGTGAGAAATCACCCCCCGGGGGGATGGTCATGCCGCAATCCCTTCTCCTCCATTCTCCTCTCGGGATCTTGGGCATGCACACACACGCACCCGGCATGAGTTTTAAGCCACCGGATCCGGGACGCGAACTGCAGTCGACTACGTGGGAGTCCAGCAACATAGCCATTACGCTAACTGCTGGTTCCCTCAACTGCTTTGTTTTGATCATTTTGTTTTGGCTGGTAACACCCCATACAGTGCTTTTACCATGCCCCCCTATGCCCATATTCCCAGGGGGCTTGATGATAGGATCTATTTTTCTCCCTAGGATATGTCATAGGTGTACAGTTTCCATTGGACCACACTAGGAGGCATGTAATGTCCTGTCCTACTGTATTCTCATAGTCTATTTCTTGCCTTCCCTGTTTGACTTCTTATTCCTTAAGCATAGAGACTCTTGATTATTTTAGAGTCCACACTGCTTTGTCCCACACTGAAGAGTAACTGAAGAGTAGATGCATAGTTTTATCTGAGGGAGATCAGGAAGGCTTCCTGAAGAAGGTGGGTCCTAAAGGATGAACAGGCAGATAATGGGTTCCATATCCCAAGTAACAAGCTTGGTTGAGTTCAGGAGTCCACTTAATCCTGGGGGGCTGATTGTGCTGTTCTTGCTTAAGGATGAAGAAGGCAAAAGCAATGCAGTGGCATTCCTTTCAGCCCTGGTAGCTCCCTGAGCAGAGAGAGCATCTTACAAACCAGTGCCAAGGCCTCCTCTTCATTGTTTTTGTGTTAATTCCATCCCCATCAGGGACTAGCTAATGCATCACAAAAAGCCAGGCAGACTTCTGGCAGAGGTTGCTGGGATGCAGTGCTGGCTGCCTCTGGCAGGGGGGTGAGTCATCTCATAGGTATTACCAACCCCATTCATTCGCTCATTAATGGAGACAGAAGGGCAGGGATTTTGCAGAGGGACAGTTCCATACCCAAGTCCAACTCTGACTCTAACTGGACAAGTGACCTTGGGCAAGGCATCCAACATTTTTGAACCTCAGTTTATTTGTAAAGTGATGATAATTACACTTATCTTGAAAGCTGGTTGTAAGAATTAAATACAATAATATATAGTAAGGATTTAATGCAATAGTACTGCAATAGTTTAGAAACTAATGCATGCTAATTCTTTTCTTTTTCTTCTTCTTCTTTTTTTAACAAACATTTAGAGGAACTAGTGGCTATGGACATTGTGCCAGACAGGGAGGAAATAAAGAAGATTCCATCCTACAGAGATTGTGTCCTCTGGAAGCCTGCAGCCCAGTAATGGAGGAGATAAGGTGAGGGTGAGGTGTGGAGAGGGATAGTGCAAAGAGTGCAGGGGTAGCAATGTTTGCGTGTATGTGTGTGTGTGGACTCGCCCTACCTGTGGTTGGTGGTGCCCTTGCTAGATGAAAGCACATTCTGCTTGTTCTGTTACAACATACTGGAGTCTATAATTTGGATATTAAAAAAAATACTTTTTTGTTTCTATGAGGAAAGGGGCAGTCCTTCAAATTCACCCAATTACATCCGTGACCTAGATGCAAGGACACACCTGACTCTACCCATCTTTGCTGGAAAGTCAAAGCCTCTTGGGTGCCAGCCAGGTCCAGGTGCAGGAGAGCCTCTCTCTTCAGATCAGCAGCTTAATCTGATTTGTTTTATCTCTGATGCCACAAAACTCAGCTGGATGATCTGATAGTGCAAACCACAGCCTGAGCCTGAGCACAACTGAGGGGAGTCCCCTGCTGCCACACACTTGGATCAGAATAGCACATCCTGCCCTTGCAGGGCCCTGAGGCTCTAAAAGCAGAACCATGTAGTCTGCAAGAATTTGTCCCAGAGCAGCTTCATAGCCTCCTCTTCTGGCTCCAGGGAGACTGTAGCTTCTGTCAAAGGTGAAAGGCAGTAGGACTAACCATGCCTCCCTGTGCAAGATGTGCTTTCCTGCCAGCACCTCGTGAGGACACACACAGCTGGACGCTCTGGGCACTCAAGGTAGAGGGTGGGCTGCCAGAAGGACAGATTTCGTTTTTATGAAACATAATGCAATGCTCTGCCTCCACTGCCTACATTATGCTCACACTTTTGAATCCGACTGCCTGTGGGGTTGGCCTCGATTTGCAGCTTTATTAGGCACAGCAGCAACAGAACAGGCTTCTTTCTTTTCTTTTTTGCTAAAACCCCAGTTTCCCCTAGCTAGTGTTAAAATTACATATACATATATACGTTAGGCACAATGACTGAAAAAATCAGAGAATAAATGTACAGGGTAAAGAAGGGAACACCCGGGTAACCATCACTCAGAATAGACCATTTCTCACTCCCAGAACACAAGCCTCCTCCACATGCCTTCTCCCAGTCACACCCTTCCCACCTCCCTGATTTTAATGTGATGGTTTCTTTGCTCTTTTTATGTGTTCTCCCCATAGCTATTCATCTAGAAACACTGTAATTTAGTCTCATATGGTTTGAAATTTATATAAATAGAACCATAAATCATATACTGTATCACTCATTTCTCTCACCCATTATGATGCTTATCAGAAGCATCCATGAGGTCACAAAGAGCTTTATCTTGTCCGTTTTCATAGATATATAGTGTTCCATTGTTAGACCACTCAGCAATGTCTTCATTCTATTGTTGCAGAGCATTTGAGCTGTTTTAGTTTTTGACTTACATCAATAATGCTGCTAAGAACCTTCCTGTACAGGTTTCCTGGTGCACGAACTCTTTTTCAAAGGAAAGCTATGGTTCTACTACATAGCTGAGGACAGTAGCTTTTGGCAATGCTGAGATGCAGGGAGCTCGCCATATTCAGGATGGTGCTCCAGCCTATTTCCTGCTCACTACTGGGTGGGTGGGTGAGTGGGAGGTCACCCTTATTAGAATTCTTCCCTAAAACTCAAGGCAGGAGCAAGAACTTTCTGGGTAAGATAAAGGGAACAACTTGAAAGGGTGCAGAACTGGAGATCAAAGAGCACTTCATGCTGCTGGCTTTTGATGTTACGTAACTGCACACACTGCACTAATTAATGAACTCATCTTCAGAGCTTGCCACCTTCCCCCACCTACCACCTCCTAATCAGCAACCCTCCACTCAAGGCCAACACCACTATCATTAACAAGTTCTGGGTCTTGGAGTAGGGTGCCTTCGGCTGCTGTGGGCATTCAGCATGGCTAGAATAGCTCTAGGGAAGAGCTTTGAAGCCACTTTCAGAGATCATAAAATCAGACAGAGTTGGAACTGGAAGTTCTCTTAGAGAACTACAGGTGTTTACAGGCTTGTTGGGGAAAATGGTTTTAACGGAAATTGAGTGGTGTTTGTTTTGATTCCAGGTAGTTAGCAGCCAGGGCATGTCTGAGAAGAATTCCTACCCTTCTCCTATGTACACTCTTTTCCTTGTCAACCACATGCCTCACGTTTCAAAACTTAATTTGTGTATTCATCTAGCAGACGACTAGATAGATGCATTCCTTCCACGAGCCTTAAGCAGAGGTGCCACCACAGCCCTGCAGGTCACAGGAGGAAAATGGAGTTCTGAGAGGTCTGAGAGGCAGGAAAAGGAAAGTGCGCGTCAGGACAGGTGAGACAGACCTGCAGTGACAGCAGTGAGAAGGTATGAGGAGGCCGAATCCAAAGGAAAGGGCCATGCGGAATATTTTGGGGAAGCTGGGATATTTTAAATCTTGATCTTGGTGGTCATTACACACAGAAATTCATCAAGCTCTGCTCTCGATGTGTGCACTTTCCTGAATGCACGTTTTACATAAAAAATGAATAAATAAGGCTGCCAGGGAGCTTTTTCTTATACCAACCATCTCTGCTTTTACCTCCACTTCCTTCTTCATACTACAAATGTCATAAATGCATGTGATATAAACCTCATGAGATGCTGCTATTGGGTTGTTGGAAAAGGCATTTTTGTGTACAAAAACACAGAAACATACTCATGGCTCTTCTGACAACCCAATATAATTTTTACTTTAAACAGTGATACATATTTTAAAGATAATGAAAGAAGAAGGACTATTTTTATATTTATGACGATTCTTTCAGGCTATCCAAATTTCCATCCATGTCATTTCCCTTCAGATGGAAAAACTTTATTAAGTGCTTCTTGTGCTGACAACAAACATTCTTAGTTTTCCTTTATGTGAAAATATTTTTTTTTTGCCTTCAGTCTTGAAGGTTATTTCCTGTGGATATAGACTAGTTCTGAATTTTAAAATTTTCTTTCAGTACTTTAAAAATATTGTTTCACACTTTTCTGGCCTTCACTTTTCCTTTTTCGAGAGAGATTTTTACTAAAGGGTGTATGCGCTCTTTGGAGAGACAGAGAGAAATAAAGCAAGAAATCACACCCTCCTCCCACACCCCTCTGTGGGGGTGGCCAAACTGCAATCTCTTCTCCTCCATTCTCCTCTTGGGATTTTGGGCATGCAGATGCATGCGCCCGGTGTGAGTTTTAGTATATGTGCTGCCGAAGCGAGCACCGCCCGGTGTGAGTTTTAAGCCACTGGGTTTGGGATTTAAACCGTGGTCAACTATGTGGGAGTTCTGTGATGTTACCATTACGCCATCTGCTGGTCCCCTGGGCTTCACTTCTTCTCCCCCTAACGTGAAGTTGAATATCACCTGTACCGTTGTTTTTCTGTGTATAATGTGTTGCTTTACTCTGACACTTTCAAGATTTTCTTCTTTTTGGGATTCAGTATTTTGGCTAAGATGTACATACGTATAGTTTTTCTCTTTCATTTATCCTACCTGGGGTTTACCAAGATTCTTAAACATGTAAATGTATGTTGTTTACTGAATTTCATGATTTTTGGTAATTCTTTCTTAATATATATATTTTTAGAGGTGTTTGCTATAGGGTGCATGTGCTCGCCAGAAAGAGAGACAGAAAGCGAGAAATCACTCCCCAGGGGGCATGGCCACGCCGCAATCCCTTCTCTTCCATTCTCCTCTCGGGATCTTGGGCACGCACGCACATGTGCCCAGCGTGAGTTTAAGCCACCGGGTCCGATATTCGAACCACAGTTGACTACATGGGAATTCAGCGACATAGCCATTACTCTAACTGCTGGTCCCACTATTTTTTATGCTCCATTCCTTCTCTTTTTTCTCTCTCTCCAACTATAATTATATGTATAGTGGTACTGAAAAAAGTTCACAGAGAAAATAAAATTAAAATATAAGTTTAGTACAAAACTTTTTGAAACTCATGCATAGATAATATGCATTTCCGTGAACTTTTTGAAGTTCCTTCTTATGTTATTCTGTTTTATCACAAGTCCCTGAAGCTCTCCTTATCTTTTAACTTTTTTGTTGTTGTTGCTTTTGTGTTTTTTTTTTTTTTTTTTTTTTTGCCATA